TTAGCATGCCACGGGACTCGAGGTGGTGGATGCCACAAATCAGGATTCAACCACAGCTTGGCCAGTGTAAAAGGGACGCGGCGGCTCGGTGGCTAAGATGCTGAGCTTGCCGATCAGAAAAGGTTGGCCGTTCGGCGGTTCGAATCCCCAGCGCCACGTAACGGAGGGAGCTCCCGTTACTTGTCCCAGCTTCTGCCAACCTAGCAGTTCGAAAGCAGGTAAAAAAATGCAAGTAGAAAAATAGGAACCATCTTTGGTGGGAAGGGAACAGCCTTCCGTGCGGCTTCGGGGGGGGGTTTAATCATGCCAGCCACATGACCACGGAGACGTCTTCGGACAGCGCTGGCTCTTCGGCTTTGAAACGGAGATGAGCACCGCCCCCTAGAGTCAGTAACGACTAGCACATATGTGCGAGGGGAACCTTTACCTTATCCCTTCCCAAGATGTATTTAATCTTAACCTGGTTCCAAAGTCCCAAGGCCACTGCCCCTGTGGTCATGTGACCACTTTTCGGACACTTGGCAACCAACTCACATTTATGAGTGTTTAAATTTTTTCAACATGTTAGCCAAAAATCAGTATTCCAGTTTTCAGCAAAAACATCCCATAGCAAATAATGGATTCACTGAAAAACTGTGATTGGTGTTTGTTTTAGAAAAAAGATTGTAAAATCAGATCCGGTTACATGATGACCCGCTTTACAATTGTCATGTTTTAGCGACCATAAATTTATAGTCTTTGTTATGGACATAAGTCAAGGATTATCAGTATTCCCTTTTACAAGAGACCTGCTTAGGCCCTGCTGCTAAGATGTTGGACGGAAACACCCCCTTTCTGTAAACGTTGATTTGGGCTCACAGATAATGCAGCTGTTCTTGAAACAGGTCCTGCACATCATGCGCCGAGGACGGGAAACCCTGCTGACGTTACTCGAAGCTTTTGTCTATGACCCGCTCGTCGACTGGACCGCAGGTGGCGAAGCCGGGTTTGCCGGAGCTGTGTACGGCGGCGGGGGGCAGCAAGCAGAAAACAAACAGAGCAAAAGAGAAATGGAGAGGGACATTACCCGCAGCCTCTTCTCCTCGAGAGTTGCAGAAATAAAGGTATTATCATCCCTTGACATGGGTTTGTATTTGAAAGAGCTAAATATGCTAAATTTGAGCAGCAGTATGCAAATATTATTGCCGATAACCATTTCGGAAACTTTAAATTACTGTACAGAGATGGCCTTGAAGAAAATATTCAACAGCTGTTAAGTAAACTTAAGCTTAGCCTGTGACAGTTAGAAAGAACCTCAAGATTGCCCCTCCTTGATTCTTTTTTGTATATTCTCCTTGATTCTCTTTCGTATATTGTCTTTTGAATCTCTGTTAGGCTTTCTAGATTCTCTTATTCAATCCATTAACAATAAAGTACAGTAGCACATAATCCTTGGGTAAACTGTTTCCTAACCTGCCTTATTTTTAAGGGTTCACCATTACACTATTTCAAATTTTCTTTCAGACAAAAGTCGAGATAATAATATAATAATGAAAGGATTCTAACCACTGAACTGTGATGGAGCAGTACAGCATTGCAGGCTAATTCTGCCCACTGCCTGCAGTTCAATTCCCACTCAGCTCAAGGTTGCCTCAGCCTTCCATCCTTCTGAGAGTGGAGAGTTATGAGGACTCCAGAGGGTTGGGGTCAATATGCTGACTCTGTAAACCGCTTAGAGAGGGCTGTAAAACACTGCAAAGCTGTATATACTATATTTTTCGAACTATAAGACGCACAGAAGTATAAGACACACCATAATTTTGAAGAGGTAAATTTTTTTAAAAAAATTTTGCACTCTGCAGGCCTCCCAAACCCTCTGCACACCTCGTTTTTTTTTCCAAAAAAGAAAAAAAAAAGGCATGCAGAGACTTTGGGAGGCTTGTAGAGTGCTCCCGGCGGCTGGGGAGGGGGGCAAAAACAGCCAGTTTTTTGTTCCTTTTTGCCATCCCCAGCTCTGGAGCACTTAGTAAGCCTCCCAAACCCTCTGCATGTCCATTTTTGCAAAAGGGGGGGGGGTTCGGTAGGCCAAAAATGCTGTATTCCGTGTATAAGATGCACCCAGATTTTCACCCTCTTCTTTGAGGGGAAAAGGGTGCGTCTTATACTCCGAAAAATGCGGTAAATCTTATTGCTATTGCTGTTGTGTTAATTTGCATCCACTAAAACCCAGGAAACTTACAATACTCAGTTTACCTTACTTATAATGTAACATTTGTTCACAGGTCAACTGGTTTAAAAACAGAGATGAAATGCTGACTGTAATTCCTAAACTGGATAGCAGTTTAGGGGAATATTTACATTTGCAAGAGCAGCTGACAGATATTGAAAAATTACAAGGCAAACTATTAGAAGAGAGTGATTATCTGGAAAGTGCCGAAGGAGTTGAGCATCCTTCTCACACACTGCAGCACAGGTAAGTTATTTTTGCTAAATGATGCTTAGGTTTGGTGAGTCTCAAAATAATTTATGAAACCCTAGTCAACTATAGTTGATAGACCATGCTGTGGGTCTTAAGGTAAGGAAACCTGGACACTAATTTTTGTTTAGTACTTAAAAAAAAGAAAGAAAACTGTCTTGCAGTCAGGTCAGTGAAACAGAGGTGGGTTCCTACCAGTTCGCACCAGTTTGTAGAACCGGTTCGTCAAATCTACCGAACCGGTTAGAAGAGGTTCCACCAGTGGACCCGGAAAGCAGGCCACACCTACAGAAGAGGTTCCAAAAATTTTTGAAACCCACCACTGCAGTGAAGTGTTCAAGGATTTTTGAAAAATGTAAAAAAATCATAATTAAGGAATCTGGAAGTTCATTATGGTGGGCTTGGCTGTTTACTTGAGTTGCGTTTATTTATAGGCCGCCCTTTTCCCTGAGGGGACTCAGGGCGGCTAACAACTTA